CCCCCCCCCCCCCCTGACTCATTGTGTGTGTCTATGTATCAGAGTCTTTCTAGAGCAGAGTCTACCAGCTGAAGTCTGACTTACCTCTTCCCATACTCAAAGCAGGCTTTCAGTTAAGCCACGTGGGGGAATTCCTAAAATATACATGGATGAAGACAAAGCTTTGCCTCCCTTGTAGAATCGCTGAACTGTTCCCTAAACATATTCCCTAGGACTTCGATCTAGGCATTGAATTTGTGGGCGCTGAAACTTTACATTTTTGAGAGAGATGCAAAATGACCCGAAGAACATATTGCGGAAGAATGGGTTTCGTTCTTTAGTGAGGTGCATTTCTTCATTTCTAGAAGATTAATATTATTAGTGAGAATGTTTGTGCCTTTCCAGGCCTTCCAAAGCTCCCTTCAGTTTTAACTGTTTATATCCAATGAACTCAGATTTTAGTAGTAAGACTGCTACTAGCTAGCCTTTCACAAAGTGAGGCATGTCTTGAAAAGGCATCACAACACCTGCATTTCGGGTCAGAACATGGTTCCTTTGAAAGGAACCAGAAGAGCTTTTCCCATCACCTTCTCTTCAAAGTCGTCTTAAAAAAATATATTAAATGTCAAAATTTAGCCCTGGGAGGCTCCCTCCTCTGCCACTGTTGCTGCTCTTCAGTAGAAAAAAATACAGAAAAAATAGAAAGCATCTACAGGAAGTTTCATACTGAAGATCTTAGATAATAATGTGCAAATGTTTATGTAGTCTTAAACATTGCTTTATATGTTGAAAGAGAAATATTAAGACTTATGGAAAAGAATGTCAGAAATGAATATTGCTGTCCTCTAAAATCAAGATTATGTTTATCTGTTTGGGGGAAAGTAATATGTTTGTATACACAAATGTTTTCCTTTGAACTAATACATACTTAAAGTCCATGTGCCTTATACTATTGTGTAACATGAGGGCCGGCTTGTTGGGGTTTCTATCCTGCTGGTAACCCACAACCAGCAAATCACGAAGAAAATCACACACAAGAATCCATAAGATTATAAACTGATTGGCCCATTAGGTCAGGCTTCTTGTTAACTCTTATAACTTATGTTACCCCATTATCCTTATCTACATTAGCCACATGGCTCTGTACCTTTCTCAGCTGGGCAAGTTACATGCTGCCTCTTCGGTGGTCTGCGCAGGAGTGTGGAGGGAGCTTCCTGTTTTCCCAGAATACTCCCAGTCTCTTTGTTCCACCCCTACTTCCTGTCTGGCTTTCCTGCCTATACTGGCTGCCTGGCCAATCAGCGTTTTATTAAAATATGATTGACAGAATACAGACAATTCTCCCACACCACTATTGCACTGATAATTGACCTCTACTTTAAATGCATGTAACAAACTACTTGTCATAAAATACATTGATGCCCCTTATAACTACTGGTATATTTGATGTCCATAAAGGAAATCTGGGAAAACAACTGAAGCATCAAGCTTATGACTAATTACCTGAGGGTTTGATCATATTTTCTTTAATCTCTTCAGCTAGTTACTATAGGGAAATTTCCTGATTTAAAGATTTGAGACTGGTGACACTCAGAAAAAAACAACACCTCAAAGTTTATAGAGCTAGTAAAATGTAAACTTAGACCTGTGGTCTTCTGTAAATCTGTCCTCAGTACCAGCTTTGAAATATTTTGTAAGGTTTTAGTTAGTAGACAGATTTCTTTCGTGAGAGGAAAGGGAAAAAATTAACAAGAGTTAGTCACCTAGAAAACAAAAGGTGGAGTGGAAGTGGAAGGATTGCTCTCCTGAATTCAGGGAACTCCAGTCACAGGTAAAAAGCATTGATGTTTTCATTTTAACAATAATGCTTCCAAGATTTTAAGGCTCCATCTGCTAATATCTGTTCTACGAGGAATTACTGAGTGCTCTCACTCTTTCTGTACAAATGATCACATGGTGTTGATGTGGAGGAAGGGATAGTACCCCGAAGCAACCTAAAGACTATGTCAACCCAAGTAAATGGAAGGGTAGTCTCTCATACCACACTATTTAAAATAGTAGCAAATCCATGATCATTGTATTTACAGCACATGAAATAATTTGTGAATCTTTTAGTAAATAATCCTACACTAGCTTGTGAATGATTTATATGCATGCTTGTAATTTCAGTTTTGCTGCTTATAGTTTATGATGGCATTTGGTTTCTATGTGTTGATGTATACCACATAAATTCTGTTCGTTTTTGAGTTGTATTTTGTAGCCTGAAATTGTTTTTTTTTATTAGATCATCCATATTGGCTTCAAAGGAATATATGTATTCCTTTGAATATATATGTGCATTTATACATGCATATACATACATATTGGACTGGAAAGATGTTTCAGTGGACATGAGCATTTGGTCACAAACATGAGGGCTCAAGTTTGGATCCTATCACTCACATAAATGAAGAACCAGCACTGCTGGAAGTAAAGAAAGAAGGATTATTAGAACTTTTTGGATGCCAGACTAACTACTGGTCCAGTGAGAAACACTTTTTTAGGAGAATAAGTCTGAGAGTGATTGGACAGGGCTTCTGTGAGTACAGGCACAGAGGCTATACAAACACATACCTGAAGCACAATTAAGAAAAACTCAAAGATGGATATTGGGTTTCAACCTGAAGACCATTAAAGCAAAGCAGACAACCACTGGCTCTTACCTGGGCCTCAGTCCTAAATTGATGATCCTGTCTCCAGGGAATCTCAGAGTAAGATTGAGTCTGAAAGCTGTCCTCTCTAGTTCTGGGATTGAGGGTGTGCACCACTACTGCCTGGTTACTATGACAAGCTAGTGTGGCTACTGGAATTAAAGGTGTGTGTCAATGCTGCCTGGTCTGTAAGACTGGCCAATGTCACTGTTTTACTTTTCTGATTTTCAGGCAAGCTTTATTTATTAAAATACAAATAAAAGGCCACTGCACATGCCTATATGTATATATTATACAATACATGAATATATATGTAAGTATATATATATATATATATATGGATGAACATGAACAAAAAAGAATGTTTGCATTTTTTTATTAGGTTCAGTTTATTAATTGTGCACTTTAAATCTTTAAATATGCAGCCTTTACTTCCAAAGCCCTATGTAACTGCATAACATTTTTCCAATCTGAGTTTTCAAAACAAAATATTTGGTTCCTTTACATTTCATAGTTGGTTTATGTTTGACATCTATACCTTCTAGGGGTATGATTGATTATATTTAACCATGTATGTTATTATACCTGATCTAATACGTTTCTAAAGAGAAGATTCAAAGTTCCATAATAATCAAATAGATTAGAAGAAACTCCTCCAACAAAAGTCACTATTAACAGAAAAGTGATAAAAAAGAATATGTTAAATAGTTAAAATATAAAGCAAAGGCGCTGACAGAATTGCAACAATACATGCACGCGCGCCCGCGCGCGCACACACACACACACACACACACACACAGAGAGAGAGAGAGAGAGAGAGAGAGAGAGAGAGAGAGAGAGAGAAGTTGACTTTTTGGAGTTGTTATAAGCACTATAGTTACTTTGGATTTTTGCAACCAAAGAATTTGAGTCATGGAGAGAACATTTGAGATTCTGATAATTAATAAGAATGTCAACTAGTCAAAGATCAGATCAAGGTTTTCCAGGACCCATAGGTGAAGGAAGATAAACCATCATTTCTGAAATGACATAGAACCTAGCCTTTCAGTTTTACCTTATCAATGGCCTCCATCCCATAGCATTATAATCAGAGTAGACCTACAGATCCCTGTTTTACTAGGCCACAAATTGGATTTAGTTCCAGGGAACTTGGAACTTTTGTCACTCTAGTGTACCTGCAGTCAGAATGTTTATGGTTTTATACAGATTATAGCTTGCTACTTCTGCCAATTCCAAAAATCCAAGGTTGCTGTGAAAAAAAAATCATGATTAAGGAAATCTCCTCCTCTTATGTGCACAGACCACATTTGACAGAAAATACTTTATTTGTTATAATGAAATCTTTGATTCTGATGTAACATACAAACAAAATTAGAAAATTATTTACTTAGGAAAAGTTCCTGCATTTTCCAAGCATCTTCTATGCCCCAATCTCACAACTGTACTTCTTTATCAATGATTTTGGACCTTCATCTAGGCCCCAGCTCTATAGAAATAATCACAAAAGGTTCACAGCACAACACTTCCAAGTTACAGTTATTTCTATTGCCCATTTCTGTGGCTGTTTTTAATCAATCTGCTAAAACAGAATCTTTTGCTTAAGATTCTCCAAAACCTAGAATTAACCTTTACTTATTCTTTGTTTTCTTTTAAGCTTAATCAATGCAAATAGTACACCAGAATCTATTTAAGGTGTATTCAATAAAATGTATACTTGCTATTGCATAAACTCATATGTATGCTCCTGTACAGAATCTTGTGAACTACCATGGGGTCTT